TAGTGGGCTTTTGTTAACCCTGTTAGGCAGTAATTGCGGGTTGCTAGCAATGATTTCGCGCTGGTAATTCTTGTGTGGCTTGGTAAAAGGAATGTGGCTGTAATATTAGTGCTGGGCTGCAAGTATTACGCTTTAGTCAACATTTCAGATTGAAATTCTACCAGTTGGAATAAGTGACCTCTGCAGACATAAATCACAATAGAAATAGTGCGGTTATTGTGTGGCAAGGCTTGTACCTTGGTCCAGAATTACAGGGCCGGCAATTCGTAAATCACGCTTTCTAGGAACCCCCCCCACCCGCATAGGTAGGTAATGGGTGACCTCAGGGCTCAGGCACGTATGGACATGGCGAGTCGCACCATGGTGTACTTTTTATTGGTACGGAAATGAAAAAAAATCACAACAGACATATTCAGCTTCTTTTTCTTTTTTTTTTCTTCTACGAGTAACATCATAGGGCTAGAGAAGGTGGGCTGGTCTCCTATTCATAGACACACTAGATCCAATATGTTGTCTCTAACTACCCGCTGTCTGGTTCTTCCGTCAGCAGGGTAGCAGGGTTCTCGGGTTTGTCTCGGCCCCTGCGTCCGGATGCTTAGAACGTAGCTAGGCCCACCTGACCAAGAACTGACAAGTCCACAGTTAAGTTAACAGTGAAACCTACCTACCCACCTTAAGTGCTTACAGTATCGACATACCTACCTAAATACGAAATAAATGTTGATGGGATAATTCAGGGTTTGCAAAAGGGGATCGGCCTAGATTTGACCGACCGGATTCATAAATCTCCAACAATATCGACAGATTCTCCAACTTCCTACCAGTCAGCTAATGCCGAGGCATTGTCGAATGATGCACACTGCAGTACTACTTATGTAACAACAACTTGTCCTAGAGTCTAGATCTACGCTGTGGCAAGATTTCTCACCCTTACGGCACAGATGGTATCGCTTACTGCGCGCCCATTCCCCCATTAGGATGCTTTCGGCGTCTGGGGCAGATACCTGATTTCTGGTTTGTACGATATCCTCGAGGGAAATAAACATGAAGTGAATTTCGTAGGTATTCGTCAAACTCACTCTAACCCCATCGTGGATTTTATTTCCCCCAATTTCAGGGTCTAGCAAGCGTCGATCATTGCGGGGTACATGGCTACACTTGATCGAGACCTGGAGCAGTACCACGATCTAAACAGACGCACCGGTCGTTGTGTATCTGCCATCCTGTGTCTGTGGCTCTTCAACTTTGCGTGGTACGACGAGGGAATCCAATCAGTCAGTGGTTGCGAGCCGGTGTTGTTTTCGAGCAGATGTTAATCTAGTTGACGGTCATGGCGAAAATGCTCGGGTTCTTGGCTAGGAGTCCACGGCTGACAATCCTTGCTACCTGTCAATCACAAGCTTCATTGGCCATCGCTTGATAAGGTGCTCGAATCTCTACGCTCTGTCTTGTTGTTTTATTCGTCTTGGCTATTTTACATGAAGTGATGGGATAGCTTGTAAATAAAGGATTGGGTCGAAATGGCCGGTAGATCGCCATGTAGTGTTGTGATAGCCGATCTAATATGGCCCATTTCCTAACAACACGCTTAGAGATTGCCATAGGATAAGTGCAATTTTCCTCAGCGTGGAAGCCTATTCGGCCTCTTGGCATTTTTCTGCATAAATCAAGCTATATAACCATTCAACTGCGGGGTGATTGAGGGATTATCGCCAGGCGTCGCATCCGCCGAAGTCGTCGCGAAAAAGTCACGGCACAAAAGTTGTAGCCGACAGCTACAACACCAATGGTCCTTGGCCCCGCCACGTGTGGACATGCCTGCTTGAGGCACAAAGCAATAATAGCCTGAGACCCTGACATCTGGTCCCTGTCACATTGGTTGCCGACCTGACCCGGCTGACTCGGCGGCGTCACGTATGGCCACGTCAGACAAGGAAGACAGCGCATGTCCCCCATCAAAACCCCAGAGGCACCTCAGCCAGACCCCCATTGGGTCTTTGCCCTTGGTTCTACTCATTACTACGTTGTTCACTGCATCGAGCGATCCCCGATCTGTACAACATCAATCCAATCCCCCCACGACAGCACAAAGTCCCACGGGATCACGGTACGGTATAGCGGATCACATCACGACAGAAGAGGGCAATCCGTTCTCGCTGCTCTTACCACTTGTTGTCAGATGATGGCGTTGGCGAAAACCCAACTTGTTGATCTCAAACGTATCGTGTCGACCAACTAACCTACGCTCTTAGCTGTGGCCCATATACCTACCTATCGCTAACATATACCACAACCTTTTAAAGCTGGTCGTGGGCATCAAAGAGCGGTATATACGAATCTTCAGCATCGTCAAACTAAAGTTAAACTGAGAATTCTCAGTCTGGCAAACCCTTCACACTCCAGCCCCTAGGCTCGGCCAAGAGATTACAATGCACGCCCTATCCAGTTCTCCAACGTCACGACCCAAGGGTATCCTCAAGAAGCCCAGCGGTCTTGATTTACAAATGCGACCCCGGAGCTTATCAACGGCATCGAAAAAGAGCACCGCATTTGATGATGTTGCCCGGGATATTGTAACCGGAGCAGAGGTGCCACAGAGCCCGATTCACTCCTCCGAGTACCGCGCCTTTCACAAAGAGTACCGCCAGGAAGTAGGAAGAGCACTCCTCCTCGCCAAGATTGACGGCATGTACGATGATGTGGTTCGACGACTCGAAGTGAAAGTAGAATCATGAGAGACAACCCTCTGATTTCCCCACGACAGCAAAATTATTCGACACGGAACATCAAGCGACAAATGATGTTATGGCGTTATGGCGGGGCGTTGTATAACAGTGTGTCAATTTGGCTTTAACTCATACATACCCTTTAGGCGGCAGGATTGTTGACGATTTTTCGACATCATATTAAAAGTACCCATTTACTGCTAGTTGGTGGCTTTAGAAGTCCCTTTGGGTGCCACTGAGTTCTCTTATCAGATCCAGTCGCGCTCACGCCAATTGGGTCAGCAACGGTATGCTTATGGATGGAAAAACAATCATGTTTAACAGATCTGTAGGAAAAGGAAGGCGAAGCAGGAATGTGTAAGCTAAAGATGGATCGTTTTGGGCCCCAGATTGCCTTTTCGTCGTACTTCAGAACATGTTCACTGCAATATTAGCTCCTTTACCAAAATACCCCTCAATATAACCCTGCCCAACCTGTTACGCTTTTCTCTCATGATCGACATCAGCCCCATCATTTAAATTCCCTTCTTCGGCCTTAACATGGGAACACAAGGTGGTGTTTCGTCATATTTATACCCGATATCCTTTGGCACGAAACCAGCGCGCTCGAGGATTCCCATGCCGCGGCCGCCGCCATCGAGATAACAAGCGTACTCGAGATCATCAGAGAGTTTAGTGGCCCATCCCACGAGCGCTGTGGCGTACCCTCTGTGGCGCCATGTTGAACTTGTTATTAAGAGTTCGATATCTACAATATCCAGGCTGGGTGTCAGCTCTGAGTGGTGCGATGTTTGTGTCCACAATCGTCGTCTCACCAACAATACCGACTTCGGATCGGGCATGAGGTTGAAAATAGCAGCATCGAGTGTTATGTACTAGGGATAATGCAACAGAAATACTTACACACATGTCCCTCTTTGCCCACAGTAAGGTGGTGCGCCCTCGCCAAGGGCTCGAAGAAGTTGGCCAAGCGTTCTTCACTGACATCAGGAAGATCGTCAGCGCGGCTCCAGCGCCGCTTCCACGAGCTGCCGACAACAGTCTGCCCTGGTTTCGCGACAGTTACGATAGCGAAAGAGACCGGTCTTCCTGTTGTTGTCATAATTCAGTTTTGGGCCAAGGTATGTTTCAGTTCATGTATCGCTAACTCGTAAATCAAGAATCTGGTTGTATTGCTTGCTATGCCCAATCCGCTCGTATCGACAATCTGAAGCCGAAAGAAATTTACGCATTGAAATTTCGTGTGGATGCGCTTAAAGACACATAATAATAAATCACGCTTGCTTGCTTGTCTTGGACTATTTGACATACCATTAGGACTCCGCACCACGGGCACCTTGCTCTGCGGACGATAGTAAGACTGTTGGCCGAGGAAGTTCTGGAAGCTGCGCTCCAACCACATGCGCCCACCATCCGTGTGCGGGAAAGTTGATTCGGCCGGTCCGCTGAACGCCTCCCAGAATATGCGGATCAAATCGGGGATATCATCTGGCGTCGCTAGGCTGACTTGGGCTGTCAGTACTTTATTGTCCATGTGTGCTGCCATCATGTGACCAGACTAGTTGGATATTTAGTTCCCAAAAGTACTCTCGAGCGCAGGTTGCCCTTCTGATGTCTAAACTGTCTCGTCTTAATTTAACCAATGGGGAATTCGGATAGGTTGACTGCGGCAGTTTGTTTCTGGCGGAGATTATTACGACACCACCGTAAATATTCGAGACTCTTGGAGATGCTTAAGCGACATCCTAGATCTTCGCTTCGCTTCAGATGGCGAAGGGATTTTGAGTCGGACGACGTAGAGATGAGCTTATTGCGAGTACGGTCTACCGTTCCAACTCTAATCCCATCGAACCCACCGATGAACCCAGGGGCGTTGAAACATAATATCTGATAAGGTTAAAAGAACGTTGTCACGTCATTAATCTAGGTAGGTTATATCAATGTGACGTAATAATGCGGGCATCCGAGTAAACACACTATCAACGGTCCCGATGAAAATATTGGAACAACGAAAACGAACTTGGGCCTTTCTTAACTGATATTGAATTGGCCGGTAGTAGCTAGATTGACAGAGTTTTCTGCTGAAACGGAACGAAGAAAACGATGTATGCAGAGAACGTTTTTCCTCGAACAATTTCTTGAATCATTATAGAAGGCAATTATATGTCGTGCAGAATATGCCTGCACAAAGCACAGGCGGATACTGGTATGCACATGCCAATTCATATCATTATATGGGAAATTATAAAACGTGGAAAAGTCCAACAAATACACGCCCGGTTAGCTCAATCGGTAGAGCGTGAGACTCTTAATCTCAAGGTTGCGGGTGAGTAGCACATTAAAAAAATACGACGTATAGCAAGATTTACTAATTCCCGCTAGGTTCGACCCCCGCATCGGGCTCAATTCCTGATGCTTCCTAGGCCACTGGGAGTAGCAACTAGTCTTTTTTTGCCCCTCTCAATCTTCTCTCGTTCTCACCCGCTACAATCAGTTTAATTTCGTGTCTCTTGTCTTCCTGGTTTCTTATTTAGCACGAATCGATTGTGAGATGTTGTTGTCTGTCCGATTTGTAAAGAAATACGTTGTTCATAGCTCTTGAGTGTCAATAACGTTTCCTCCACTAAGATCTTAATGAAACCGGATTAAGCTTGGGTGCGCACGCCGCTTTAAAGACCTTAAGCACGGATGTGCAGAAAATCGAATGACCCAGACTACCGGTAGCCAAACCTACGCTATCTATGGTTGTGTCAACCGCCAGCTCGGCACCGGTACCGCATTGTGGCGTCGTCAATTGCAGTGAATTTTGAAACTGTAATATGCGTCATTCATAGTGGCCGCCAATTATCTAACTGCTTTTGCCGACCGCGTACACTAGTGTTAGCTGCAGCTGCAGACAAGCGGCAATCAACCACGTTTCTCAAATGATTTGATATCCTCAGAAAAAAACCTGCCTCTCGAAAACTGTATAGATTTTCGTCTAGCTGCCTTAGGTAGTGAGTGACGCCCAAGAAGCGCCGGTATGCCATAGTGGGTAAGACTTGGCTGTTCCCACCCATAACCCCAAGCAGCGTCCTCTTCGATGAATTTATAAGGAGAAAAGCTGACCAGGGCGAGAACAGTAATAATGGTTGGTGTAACCAATCGAGCCCGGGGTGACGACGCAATATCGAATTGTCGGAACAGCTTGTTGGGGGCGCTTTCTCATGGGAATTATGCGGCATTGTTGATAATGCCCATCGAATGAATTTTGGTAGACTAAACCAGACAGAACGACCTGTCCTTTTGTGTCTCATGTTCTGTGCTAAAATTACGTCTCCATCTGCTGTAAAATGTCCTATCTCCTCCACACCTTTACCTCACCATCCGGCTGCTTTGCTTGGCTTAAGTAAACTCTTGTTTCCGGCGTTACGACGTTACAGTAAACCAGGTGGCTCAGGCGTTGTGCCGGCACGTATAATAGGAGCGCGTAGCACCCCCGTACAGCATAACCAACCGATGGTGGGGTTTTATAACTATGGCTCAATACCTCTTGATTGGGGTAACTGTGCTTCTCGCGGCCGTTTGGGCTGTACAGCAGCTCTTCTTCACAATTCGATTTCCGTCGAATCTGCCCAAGATTGGCGGCGGATCTCGCTTTAGTCTGCGAACAAGATGGAGGTATCACACTGACGCTCGAGGCCTGTACAAGGAGGTCTATGATAATGTGAGTATTGTTATAATCAAGAGACAACCAACAACATCTTGCTACTGCCCGATCGCTCATAAAGGACATTTAGTACTCGAAAAAAGGCAAGACCGTGCTGGCCCCCGGGCTCGGGTTCCGTGACGATGTAATTCTACCACCTAATGCCTTACGCTGGCTACAGCGCCAGCCCGAACGCCTGGTCAGCGCGATAGCCTCGCAAACCGACACTATCCAGCCTTACTATGGCTTCGGACATGAAAAATTCGTTTCAGATCCTTGGGGTGGATTGCTGGTGAAAACAGATCTGAATGCGGTTTTAGAGACTGTCTGTGCTGCTATGAATGACGAGCTGGGCCTCGCGATCGCTTCTCAGTTCGGAACCGATACGAAAGCCTGGAAAGAGATTAATTTGATGCCCGCGGTTCGTATCATCGTGGCGCAAGCTGCTACCCGATTCACTTTAGGGGGATCACCTGCCGGCCGTAGATTGTGTGAGTTATATCTGCCGTTCTACACGACACTTAACATATAATATCCACTAAACTGCTTTCAGGTAGCGAGAAGGGATATCTGAATGCGTGTCTTGACAACGCGGACGCGCTTGTGATTAGCGCAGGGCTGGGTGGTGCAAGTCCGAAGCTTTTAAGGCCAATCTTAGGTCGCATTGGTGCTTGGGGTGCTAAGCGAGAGATCATAAATCTTGAGAAGTATTTTGAGCCAGTGTACAGGGAGAGAATGGAGATACTGAAGAAAGAAGAAACGAACCAAGGCATGGAGATGCCGGTGGATCACCTTCAGATGATGCTGCGTTATGGGCTGAAAGAACGACGCGATGAAGCCCTGAGTCTACGCGACATGACGAAGAGGCTGTGCATCTCTAACTTCGGCTCAATGCACCAGACAAGCATTCAAGTTGTGAACATGCTTCTCAACGTTATAGACTCGGACGCCGAATTTGATACCATTTCCGTCTTGCGTGACGAGGTTGCCCAAGTGATCGGCAACGACAAGACATCTGGCTGGAATAAGACCAAGGTAGCAGCTTTGACGCGGGCCGACAGTGTGGCCCGCGAGACACTGCGTCTGAACTCCTTCTCATCTCGCGGTGTGGCACGTAAGGTTATGGGTGACGGGCTGGTAACCGAGGATGGAATTGCTCTACCTAAAGGTTGCACGGTATCATTGATTGCCTACTGGTTGCAGACAGACGGTGACGTTTTCGAGAACCCGTTCAAATACGACCCATTCCGATTCTCACGTGCCCGCGAGGCAGAAATGGACGAACAGGGGAAGCCAGGTCTTCCTAGTCTAAGCTTTGTGTCAACGGGGACACAGAACCTTGCCTTCAGTCATGGGAAGCATGCCTGTCCAGGGCGATTTCTCGTTGACTTCGAACTGAAAATGATCATCGCATATGTGCTGATGAACTACGACCTCGAGTTTCCGCCCGAATACAATGGCAGGAGACCGCAGGCTCATTGGATTACGGACGCAGTTTTTCCTCCAGAAGATGCCATAATTAGAGTCAAAAGGAAAGTACGTGCAGGGTAAATGCTGTGCAGGATCTCGATCATGTATTAAGGACACAAATAGAGCTGGGCTTTAACGTTCGTCATATTCACTGCGTGAAATCTCTGCCGCCGTCTAGACAGGATCTACTCGTGCGCTCGCGACTTTTGCGTCGGATATCTTTACACTGGCTATAATACTAGATTTAGAACAGTCATCCCGGGAGGACCCCGTTGGGCTTTTGAGTGTGTAGGTAATCACATGCTCGCGCCGCATTAGTTACTATTACCGTAAGCTAGCCGCCACAGCCGACTGAGGCTTGCAACCATGACCAAATACATGCTTGCAATGATGCAAACCCCGTAATAACTTACACTTTCCTTGTTATATACTACTTCAATGGTCATAGCGAAGAGGTCTCTTTTACGAAGGGGAGGGGTGCTGAGCTTCACTGAACTACATCCCAACTATTGAGAACAAAATACTCGCTTGCGGTCTGTCATTATGTGGGAAGGTTCACACGCATCGCTTTGCATAGACTAAGCTAGACGGAGCTCAATAACCTTCAACATCTCGTCATGGTCAAAACCTTACTTAACATAAGCCGGTAGCAATCAATCTTCATGATGGCTGCTTCGTCTAGGTTCGTGATGCGTCTATTGGTCGATCGCAAAGACACCATCTTTGCCCTACGAGTCCTTCCTACTTAATTATCGCGTTTACGGTTGCCATCAACAGTGACAGAAATTCCGCGCTCTGGGTTTCGAATGGACGGATGCGCATAGACGAGATGTCACAGCAAATCGTCTGTGACGTCTGGCTTCCTTGTCGGAATCCGGCCTGTTGTCTGCCCCTTCTTGCCAAGAAGCCGGGCTATTAGAATAGCAGCATGGGCGAGCAAAGTCAATTATACGTGGAAGTGATTAGCATACCTAGCCGAACACCAAAATTCTTTTAGTTCATTCGAATTCTAGCGCGGTCGAAGCGAAGTTCATATATCACGTGAAGGTGTCAGAGGACCTGGCGTATTCCCTTAGAAGAGTTACAAATGCTAATGTATAATCTAATCTAATAGAGTGGCTACGATACATGCTTTATATCCCAATACGCTGCTTACTAGACACAATGGTTGCAACTAATTTGTTGTGTTGCTTCTCCCAGCGACTCCCGTCGAGCCGATGCTCACTCTCAAGATGGCGGGTTAGGTCAACATTCCTGATAAAAGTAAGGCTTATTACGAAAGCGACGACAGAGATACCGAAATAGAAAGAAAAGACGCCAGTGAATCCAAACTTGTAAGCATCTATCACGTTATTCTTATAGGGGCCGGGTTGAAGCCTATGTAAGACGCTGATGTAGCTTTCGGCTTGCTTTGCAATCTCGACCGGAAGTCCGAGAGACCGTAGCTTGATTGCCATTACGTTCTGAAATGCGGTGCCGCCAATGCCGACTCCCAGGGCCATGCCGAACTGCCGGACGAAGGCGTACATTGAAGCGGCAGCGGCCTCGTCGCCTTGTTTACACATAGCTTGCGTGGCGAAATTCTGTGCATTGAGAATAGCACCTTGCCCAACGCCAATAACGAGGTATGCCATAGTCCAGACAGCAGCGCTATCGTTATGAGGCCAGACAAGGAACAGTGCGGCACCGATACTTGCGACGAACCAACCGACCTGGATGGGCCAACGGTAGTGATTGTAGCGTGTTACGAGGCGACCGCAGATGATACCGGCAATGGTTACGGTCAGAGTCGCTGGTAACATCCCCACGCCAGTGTCAAGCGGGGAGTATCCTTTTATGGATAAGAAGTAGAACGGACCACTTCACCCTCGTGTTAAATGAGGTCGCTTAGTTGAGAGTTCTTGGTGAACGAATAAACTTACTAGTACAGTAGCCCGTATAGCTATCGTAACACGAAGATTAGCTTCAAACAACATTACTCGACCAAAGAAAGGGTCTTCTTACCACCATGCCCTGAATGGAACCGCATATATAGCCCACGATCGAGGAGGCATTATGGTATAGACTATGTCGTAAGAAAGCCTGTTTTGCCCAGAATCTCTCGTACACGAGAGTGAAGAGTAAGCCTACGAAACCGACTATCAAGGGGACCAGAGTTTGAATGCTATTCCATTCGAACTGCGTCGAAATATGGTTAGCATGGTTATTATTATCTCTTATAATAACGCCTCTTTTTAGAGGCATG